CTACGGAATGTATAGTTTATCCTGGAGGTTCTTGCTCAGTCGCAGAATGTAACGTTGTACCGCAGTCCGCGATACCTTACGCTGGCGCGATCAGGGCCGTGGCGTGACACTAGGGCAGTTCGGTTTTTATATTTAACCATCCACCGCGTCCTATTGGTGACTTTTGGCCGCTTCAGTCGGAAGTTATCGACGAAGTCTTTTATCTCCTCGTCGAGCAGTGCTAGCGCGTGGTCACGCGCGTCCGAGGGGTTAACTTCTTCGCCGGGGGTGTAGCTATTTTAGGCGGTGTCCCCATTGTTTGGCGGTCCGCCGGTTTCCGTGCTTATGATGCTGGGTTCGCATTCGGGTGCTCGTGGCCCGGCGGGGCTGGGTGATCGCTCGTTGTTGGCGGGCGCTTCCACGATTGCGCCAAGAGGTTCGCCCGGTGCGGCGGCTGCCGCCAGGAGTGGTGGCCCTCGAAAGATTTGGACCCGCTGAATCCTGGCTTTGTTGGGTGGCCAGGGTACGCTTTCGAACGGCGGACGCCATGGTTGGACGCGTTGTGGTTCATCCGGCGGAGCTGGGTGGCGATTTCTGCGACTCATCACTTCGGTGTGTCTGACGTGACTTGCGGAGTAATCTGAAATGATAAGAAGAGAACGGGTTGCTGTTGTTATGCGTTGAACGGCTTCAGATCCTGCAGGTGCGCGTGCGTTGGTTGTTTGTCGGGCCGCTCGGGGTTTACGAGTGTCACCGTGTTGGAGGAGATGTATTTGGTGATCGTATATGGGCCTGAGAATTTCGGCGCGAGCTTCTGAGCATAGTTGTCGGCAGCCGAGGAGAGGGGGTGATCTCGCTTCATCATCTTCTCTCCTACTCTAGGTTTCCACGGCCGTCTGCGTAGGTCGTAGTACCGTTTTTGCTGTTCGGCCGCCGCGGCGAGGTGCCCCTTTATCTCTGTTTTCCTTGTTTCCTTGTTTGGAGCGTGGAAGTGGTCCTACGAAGTCGGCCGTGACGATTTCCCATGGTTGCGAGCACTGCATGGTGGCCATTAATCCTGCTGGTCGTCTTTGTTCCACCTTGTACTCGGCGCAGGACAGGCACCTTCGTACGTGCTTGAGTACGTCACGGTACATCCCAGGCCAGTAGTAGTTCTGCTGTGCTCGTTTGAGAGTTTTCTTGACGCCTAGGTGTCCGGCTGCCGCGGCGTCATGTACCTCTTGCAGGATATCTGGTCGGCGACTGGTGGGGATGCAGAGCTTCCATTGAGGCGCACGGGAGAGCTTGTTGCGCGGCGCGATGTGGCGGAACAATCTATTGTCGATGATTTGGTAGTCCGGGTGACGGCTAGGCTGTTGCTGTACTGTCTTTAGTTTTCTTTCATACCAATCGCTGGTACTGATTTCCACGGTGTAGAGTGTGTCTGTTCCATCATCGGTTGTTGCCAGGGGACATCGTGAGAGTGCGTCTGCTACTACGTTCAGCGCTCCCTTTCGATATTCGATGTCAAAATTGTACTGTTGGAGTTCGAGCGCCCATCTCGCCAGTCGTCCGGATGGGTTCTGCAGCGAGTGTAGCCACTTCAATGAGTGATGGTCGGTAATTACCGTGAAGTGGTATCCTTCCAGGTACGGTCTCATCTTGCGGATTCCCCACAGCACGGCGAGGCACTCTTGTTCGGTGGCTGAATAACGCTTCTCCAGGTCGTTCAGGCTTCGGCTGGCATACGCTACGACTCTCTCGTGGTCGGAGTGGCGTTGAAACAGGACCACTCCGAGTCCTTCTCCGCTGGCGTCGGTCTGGAGGAAGAAGGGGCGGTTGAAGTCGGGGCAGCAGAGTACTGGCGCGGTCGTCAGCTTTTGTTTTAATGCCAGGAACGCGTTTGCTTGCGGTGCGTCCCATACCCAAGTCTGGCCTTTCTTCAGTAATTGGTTGAGTGGTGCCGCAACTGTGGAGAAATCGGCGACGAAGCGACGGTACCATGATGCAAGACCGAGGAATCGACGAAGCTCTCGGATATTCTGAGGCGCTGGCATCTCTCGTACGGCAGATATTTTTGCAGGATCAGTGTGTATCCCCTCTGAACTAACAATGTGGCCGAGGTAGTGGAGCCTCTGTTGCACAAAGCTACATTTGTCGAAGTTCACCTGCATCCTCTTCCTTTGGAGTCGCTCGAACACTTCGCGTAGATTGCTCATATGTTCCTCGAAGGTGTCCCCCAGGATGATTATGTCGTCTAGATACGCGAATACTTTCGGCTGTAGCTCGGGGCCGAGGATCGCGTCGAGAGCGCGCTGGAATGTCGCTGGCGCGGAGTGTAACCCGAACGGCATGACTCTCCACTGGAACAGCCCTCTCCCTGGGACGGTGAAGGCGGTGTACGGCCGTGATCCTTTGGCTAGGGGTATCTGCCAGTACCCATTCTTCAAAGCAATCGTGGATATGTACTTCGCTTCTCTGAGCTGGTCGAGGATCGCTCCAATCTGGGGCAGCGGGTATGCGTCTTGTTCGCTGGCGGCGTTGAGCTGGCGGTAGTCTATGCACATCCTCCAACTTCCTTGCTTCTTACGAACCAGGACAATCGGCGAGCTGTACGCGCTCTTTGATGGTTCGATCCGCTTAGCTGCCAGTAACTCATCGACTTCAGCATTGATCACCTGTTGCATGGCTGGATTGCGGGGGTAGTAACGCTGTTTCAGCGGCCGGTTATGCTTAAGGGTGATCACATGCTCAGCGGCGGTGCTTGGTCCGTTAATCCCACTGAAGGTCTGCTGGTGGTGTGCCAGGAATTCGGCCAGCTGCTTATTCTGTTCTCCGTTCAGATCCTCTCTCTCGGTTAATGTGTATAGCTGGGCGGGTGCATCCGTTGTTCGCGGGGTGGGTGCAAGCAGTGGTTGTCCGTCCAGGGTAAGGATGGCCTCTCTGTCCCTAAGGAAATCCATCCCCAGGATCATGCGTTCGGCAAGATTTGGGAGTGCCGAAGCCAGGGTGGTTGTGGCTCGCTTGTTGTACATTATCCTTACTGGATAAGTGTACAAGCTGGAGACGCATGTTTGATCGGCCAGTTGTACATTTCGGTGATTGGGTCGATGCTGGATTTTCCTCTCTTCCAGGTGTTGACGTATGGACTCGTCAATGTAGGTGAGCGTTGCGCCGGTGTCCAATAGTGCCCGTACGCTCATACCTTCTACGCTCACATTGATGTAGTAGCGACCATCTGCTTTTCCTCCTTGATGGGTGTTAGTGTCTACAGGGACAGCGGCGATCGGAGCTGTTCCGGTGCTGCGTATTTTGCGGGGCGGCTTAGCGGTGGCAGTGTTGCACGGACAATCCCGGGAGAGGACGTTATCTCGGCCGCATCTAGAGCAGAACAGCCTTTTTGTCCTTCGGCATCGGAAGCGGAGGTGACCGCGTCCTTTGCAACGCCAGCAGGATTCCTCTCTGCTGTACCTTTCTTCTAGGGGAGCTAGGCTGTGTGCTGCTTGTCGACTGTTTCTGGCCTCTTCGCCCTTCAGAAGCTCAAATTCGTCGGTGAGATCCATCAGCTCCTCGATCGTTTTAAACTCCCCTCGCTTGACGAAGAGACGATACTCAACACGTAGACCATCGTAGATGCGTTCCAAGTGATCCTCTCCACACATGGTCGGGTGTTGGCGTATAAGAGTTTGTAATGCCAAGATGTAATCCTTGGCCTTCTCTCGGCTTTGTTGGCGTCGCTGCCGGATGGCATCTTCGAGCTGACTCATGTGTCGCCGTGGGAGGAAGAACCGCTCTATTTCTGCACGAAACGCTGCCCACGAATGTAGCTGTGGTTTTCGTACGCGGAACCATTGTAGAGCCTTCCCGCGTAACACTTCAGGTAGGGTTGGGAGGAGGTTGTCTAGCGGGATGCGGTAGCATTCGGCTAGCTCTTCGATCCTCTCCAAGAAGTCGTGTAGCGCGTCGCCCCCCGAAAAATGTACGTCCCATCGGCGAACGGTATTCATTAGCTCGGCGTCGTTGATCTCGCCACGCTTTGTTGCAGGCTTCATCTCCAGTGGCGGTGGACTATAGTTGTCGATCCGGACGGTGGGAATGGTGCTGGGCAGCATTTTTACTGGTCTCTCCTCTTCTGCTTTAATCTCCTCTTCCAAATCCCTTAATAAATCCTCTGTTGATTTGCGATGTCGCTTCGCTTTTACATATGCGCTAAGCGCGTTGCGCAGGTCGGCGACTGTATATCCCTCTACGAAAATTCGATGCCGCTTGCACTCCTCTATTAACTTCTCCTTCTTTAGCAGATATATCCAGCTGAGGGAGTCGACGTTCAGCGTATTGGTGTTACTCTCGCTGGCGCGTGTGTCATCTGTTGGTTGTGGTGTGTTCGGCGAGCCCGCTTCCGCAGTGTTGGTGCTTGTTAAGTTTTTTGCACATGCGCCTGCAGAGCTGGGTCCCTGCTCGGGCGCCATTTATGAGGTGGGTTTTGTCAAAGGCTGAGGTGAACTCAGCCGATCCAGAGTCCGGCGAAGGTCCCACTAACCCCCACCAAATAAAACACACTATTTTAGTGTATTTACTTCGAACACACACACACACACGGCGCTACGACTAGAGTGCCAGCAACCTTATGTCCAAAGAGAGGGAGAGGGAGAGAGAGGTGACGTTCGTTGTGGTCGTGCGGTCGGGTCGGAGCGGATGATGGCGAGAGCGCGAGCAGCACGGCGGGTGGCTCTCAGGAGCGGCGAAGCAACGGTGAGATCGCTAGCGGCACGGCGGGTGACTCTCGGCAACAGCGGAGCAACGGTTGAGCAACGGTGGGAGCGCTAGCAGCACAGCGGGTGACTCTCGGCAACAGCGGAGCAACGGTTGAGCAGCGGCGGCGGCACAGCGGGTGACTCTCGGCAACAGCGGAGCAACGGTTGAGCAACGGCGGCGGCACAGCGGGTGACTCTCGGCAACAGCGGAGCAACGGTTGAGCAACGGTAGGAGCGCTAGCAGCACGGCGGGTGATTCTCGGCAACAGCGGAGCAACGGTTGAGCAACGGTGGGAGCGCTAGCAGCACAGCGGGTGATTCTCGGCAACAGCGGGGCAACGGTTGAGCAACGGTGAGAGCGCTAGCAGTAGCGGAGCAACGGTTGAGCAATCGGTGACCAGCGGCGGCGGTACGGCGAGTAATTCTCGGCAACGGTGGCGTGACGGTGAGCGGCGGCGGCCCGACGGGTGATCTTCGGCAACGGATGTCCTCTAATGGCAACGGGTGGCTCGTATTACTACTCGGCGACTCGGCAACCGATGGAGCGGAGCGACCTAGCAAGACTAGCGAGACTCGTCAGGCACCGCTGCTCCCATAATTGCACACTACATGAGTAGGGGCTGGAATGGGGGCGGCGGTAGCCGTGGCTCGGCCAACCGGAGACGATTTAGTGCGTCCGAAAACACACCACTAGGCGCCAACCGGCTGGTCAAGCAATGTTTGGGTTGACTAGTCAGAGACGATTTAGTGCGTCCGAGGACACACCACTAGGCGCCAACCGACCAGTCAAGCCCAACGCTTACCTAGCGAGACTGACTCGACTGCGCACTTGTTCAGCTTTTTATACCCGATGCCGTGTATTTCGTTTGAGAATTCGTCGTGTACGCTGTCCCGATGGTAGCTGGCGAACGAAGTGGTTGGTATGCTGCTAGCAGTGTTTTGCCTGATGCTGCATGAGTGTGCCGAAGAGTACATATGTATGTGTATATGTACGTTTGTACGTTGTCGATATGTATCGGAAGGTATGTATATGCGTTGTTATGTGTGTACAGTGGTGTCTGTATGTATGTATAGTGGGATATGTGTGTACGGTGGTATATATATGTGCAGTGGAGTGTGTATGCTTCGTTTGTACGTTGTCGATATGTATCGGAAGGTATGTATATGCGTTGTTATGTGTGTACAGTGGTGTCTGTATGTATGTATAGTGGGATATGTGTGTACGGTGGGGTGCGTATGTACTCCAACGTGCTGTGTACTATTGTTTCGTAGTGAATTGCTACGTTACAAATTCATATACACATATATATACAAAATTGGTTCAATATGCAGAAACTTTGTATTTTTTTGTAAACCTCTGTTATTGGTGCGTGTCTCCTCCTGATAAATACTTACATAAAGGCGGTACTCACAATAGACAATTCTGTGTCTGCGTAAAAGTATGGAATATTCTACGCACGCCCTCCTAACCAAACCTAACAATAGGTGACACTTTTTGAAGCGCGAGACTTATAGCCAGTTTCAGGAAAGAAATTTAAATGAAAAATATATATTTTCATTTGAATTTATGTATTATAAAAAATTGCTATTGAAACCGGCAATACGGATAACTAGTCAATCCACATGATGTTAAGACGCGCAAAATTTAATTTTAAAAACTTAAATAATATTCCAAATGTTAGTCAGAGTTTTAAGAGATCCGAGTGTTATATTTCATCTAAAACCGTACAGTCGTTCTCGAGTGAAGATAAATCTTGCATAATGCAGGTTTTTAATTTCATCAAATTTCGAAATACCCTATACCATTGATAAGGTTCTTAATAAAAAAAAATAGAATAAGACTTTATCACAGATCTACACGCTTAGGTCTTTAATTTGAGCTCTCATTTTTAAAACTCCTCTTTAAAAGTGATAAACTGATGAGCTAATTTGAATTAAATTATTACAACACATGGCAACCCTCCTAAAGAAAGCCATTTCGATCGATACCCATCTTTTAATAATTCATCCAACTTATTGAATAATTTGAATGTAACTTTTTAAAAACGTGGTAAACCCCTTCAAACATTCTAAAATATCAAAATGAAGATTTTTAATATTATTTTGTTTAACTATGGTATTTTTATATTTCATAAACTTTTTGTATTACATAGTTAATTGAATTAGACCTTTCAAACAGGTGACAGCCCTCTTCAAAGTATTTTCAAGCTTAATCCTTGCTGACTCTCCTTCGTCGGACATTGCAATACACGTTTGAATTAACTGATAAATTAAGTGGAATTTGACTTTTCAAACATGTGGCAATCCCGCTACATATGGTTCCGAAATAAACAATTTTCAAATCCTTTGTGTCCGAACTAAAGGTTTCTTATTACTCCTTCGTTTGACATCCATATTTTCATATGTCATATAAGTAAACTAACTTCGACATTTCAAGCAGATGGCAACCCTGTTCAAAATACTACTACTTTCTGAAACCCCTTTCGTTTGGCAATCATATGGTGACACATAAAATTTTCTCTTACATAATTCCCTTGATTCAAATTGAATTTGATTCTGGAATAAAAGAATAGAAGAAAAATTTATTTTTTGGGTGGACTAGGACGAATAAGTATTAAAAATGTTCTTTTAAAACTTTATCATTGAATATCCTTGGAAATTTCCAATTTTTGTCTTTGGAAAAAATATATGTCAAGGACTAATATGTAAACTACCACATCCTCGAATCTCGTCCTTCTAACTTTATTAGTTTTAGATACAAAAATTTTACACTTCTCTTAATAAGATATTGATAGCTTCAATATACATAAAAGAAGATACTGAAATCATTATTATGGAACCATATATGCGCTCTAAAAGAACAAACTGAACATGTGATGTACGGTATAAGTACCTTAAATGTTTTCTATACAGGGGCGTCGCCAGCCTTTCACTTAGGGGGGTAGGAGTTTATGTAGAGGAGAAATGTTTTTAATAACTTTTTTGGGTTTATATAAATAGAAATTTCGGTTTGTAATTATACCCGCGCGCACTTGTGCACAAGGGTATAATAATTTTGTTCACACAACGGTTGTTTGTAACAGCCAAAACGAATCGATATAGATATAGACAAATGTATACATAAATGCTCAGAATGAATAGAGAAATTGATTAAGCCATGTCTGTCTGTCCGTCTGTCCGTCCGTCCGTGTACACGATAACTCGAGCAAAAATTGAGATATCTCAACGAAATTTGGTATGTAGGTTTCCGCTAATCCACGGTAGGTTGGTATTGAAAATGGGCGAAATCGGACTGTAACCAGTTGTCATATAACGGTAATTTCCAGAAATACGAAAACTGCGATATTTTAGTAACTACTGAAGATAATTCACTCAAAATTGATATTTACAATAATTTTTAGACGAAAAATAAGAACATCATAAATTTTTGGAAAATGGGCGTAGCCACGCCCACACATGTGTATATCTCGGTAACCGCTGCACCAATTTCTTCCAAACTTGGCACAGCGAACTAAATGGCCGAAAATTTAAAAAATCGGCCAGTAACCACGCCCACATCCCATATAACGGTAATTTAGAGAAATACAAAATCTTCGATAAATCCGTAAATATTAAAGCTAATTTATTCAAAATTGATGATTGCAAACAATTCTTTACCAAGAAATACGTTTATGGTAAAATTTTGGAAAATGGGCGTGGCACCGCCCCCTTATGATCACATACATATGTATATCCGTAACCGTTCTACCAATTTATACCAAGCTCGGTATTTTTATTGTGGCCACATAAAAGCAAAATGTTGAAAATTATTGATATCGGACTAAAATTACGGCAGCTTTTCATATAACGGTAAATTTCTGAAATGCTTGAAACTGCAATATTTCGAAATTGAAGGACGCTAATTTACTCAAAATTGATACACCTCGGCTTACCATCTAGCGGAAGGTTTCGGAAAGGTGAAANACTAATACTTGGGCCGGGTATTTAGTGTTCCGCTCCACATGAACTTAGACTTTCTTACTTGTTTTTAAATATTTTTTTATAAAAAAATTTATTTTTTTAAGCGTTTTTTCTCAAATTTTTATAGATACGAGATATACAAAAACGCATATCAGAAGAAAGGAGGATTGATTGCGTTTAAAACGATATCATTTTTTTTTTAAATCGGTTACTAATTTTTTTTTGATTTAAAATATTTTTTTATGAACAAAAGGTATTTTTTCCACTTAAATGTTTTTTCGCAAATTTTTACATACCAAGTATACAAATAATAATATGAGAAGAAGAGGGTTTAATCACGTTTACAATGATAGCAATTTTTTAAAAATCGGTTCAAAATTGTTTGAAATATAAGGGTTTTAATTTTTGAAGACCCGACCTTATAACACCTGCAATATAAGTTTGCACGAAATAAGGTTATATACCATTTAAATAAAGGCAAGGGGCGGACTACGTCTATATTTTTAGTTTTTTGTTTATTTACATATAAAGAATAAAAAATAATATTTTTTACCAAATGCCCTATTTCGAACTTCGAACGCCCATCTCTAGATTTCGGAGGCTAACTTCGAAAACCGGAGAAATTACTCAAGCTTTAAAAAAAAAAATGGTTTGGTCCAATACCCAGCCGAGTGCTGTACTCCAGTGTCTTTATTTATGTATATTGAACTATCAATATCTTAGAGAAGTGTATTTTTTCTTTTATCTAAAACTAATAAAGGTAGAAGGACGAAATTCGGGGATATATATTTTTTTCTAAAATAAATATTG